CGCCCAGAAGGGAACAATTTTTTAGTAAAAACTTATTTTTAAATGTTTACGTGTTGATAATATTATTTAATACATATATAATATCTAATAAAATTCGTAGAAACGACAATCACATCTGTCATCGTTACGAAACCCGTCACTCAAACACTTTACTTCAGGGAGACCCGCCGAGGAGTCCATACCTTCAGGTCATACATATTAGAAAACTTGTTGGCTCTTTCAACTTACATCGTCATATTGATATTAACGATCAATAACCTACGGCACCTATCAATCATGGACAGTGTACTCAAACAGATGAAGCGGCGAGGTAATTATAAATCCATGTCACTTTCCTTCAGACTCAAGGCTACAAAAGGCAAGAACGGGTCCGCCAGGGAAACCAATCCATTCGACGCGATAGACATGGGCAAAAACTTGGCCCAGGGAAATAAGAAAAATAAACGCGTCGCCCAAACTGGTCACCCCCGCTTTCGTATGTGGGCGATCAAGATTTATGACGTAATTGTGATAAAAGGTATAACGCGTCTCCTTAGAAGGGACAAGTCTGAGCTATTACATAATCCATTTGACACGTGTAAATTAAAAAGACCGGCTGTCAAAGGCTCTTACGGGCTCATGACAACGCCCGAGAAGGAGATAACGCTGCTACGTTTGCAAGTGTGGTCTACGCTCTTCAAGTTCATCTGTATCTTCCCGAATCTAGTTATGATTGCCCTGTACCCACTTTTCGACGAAAAACAGATGGCCGCGTTTCCTCGCATGCCAGATGCGTCCAAAGAAATTTATTTCAAGCTACTACCCATTATAAATATTTTGGAGTACGTTAACATAGCCGTCACCCCTTGGATCATGATAATGATCCTCCCCGAGATTAGGTCCATCACCAAGGACTCATTGATGTGCCGAAGAAATTATAAAATTGGGGAGTAGATTCATACCACATTACAAACTTATATTTTAAAAAATTTCATTCACTAATTGATAAAATATTACTGGCAATAACAAAGGGCCTTGCTAACGATTGTTAGGTTTAACCAACTCTTTGGAATTAAATTTCTTCATAATCTTGAAAAAAATATTTATCAATTTTAATAAATAATATTATTGATTATACGAGTGTATTTCGATTAATAAACGCTTACTTTATTAATTTAATTTTATGAAATTTTGGAATAATAAGCCTATTTATATTTAAAAATGGGACAGGAGGAGGGTGGGTAAGAATTCGGGACTTTCGGATAAATGAGAAGGGAAAATGATGAAAGAAAGAAAGAAAGAAAGAAAGAAAGAAAGAAAGAAAGAAAGAAAGAAAGAAAGAATCTCGATCAAACTTATTTTTTTTCCTTCCCAAAATACTATATTATCGTCGGCCTAGAATTGGAGTGCTCCACTTGCTCAAATGTTTATGATGAGAAAATCAACATTAAAGTTGAAAATGAAATATAGGAAAATGCTTTATTGATCAAATTTTGACTGAGCTCTATAACTTTTTGGCAAAAATTTAATAATTGTTTTAATCTAGTTTTTATTTATATATATATATATATATTGGGAATAAATTAAGTTGTTAACCACTTCTAAACTCAAAAATATTTGAAAATGTCTAGGTGAAGCACTCCAATTCTAGACCGACAATATGACAGTGGTTAAGTAATCTTTTAATAAAATTTGCACAACCGATACAAGGAAACCATATCTATGATACCCTAATATGCCAAGTTTTCAAACAGGCCCAAGTCAGATGATTTGGTTTTCTAATTATTAACTACATTTTAATATTTTTTTTTGGTAATCATACACCTCTACAGATTCAAGACAAATATTATCTCGGTGGCAAATATAAATTTAACTTTAGTGTCAAAGAGGAAATGCGAGACAGGTGTCAATCTTCTTTGGATTTAAAGCATTAATGTTTTATCCTCATTTTTCTTTGAAAGACTTCCAGACTATTCCAATTATGTAGATAGTAGCTATTGTCAGAATTCCTCCTTAGTATTTGGGGATAAATTCTTAATTTGAAGAAGAGAACTCTTTTCACTATTCCTTTTTTTAATTTATTTCCCATTTATTTTTTTTCCCGCATTTTATCTTCTCTTCTCTTCTCTTCTCTTATCCATTTTTTTCCTCCCTTTCCATTTTATTTTCCCTTTCTTCCTATATCGGCATTATGGTTTTCATTCATAGATGAGGTTCAAATACAAATGACGCCATTTTCTTTCAAGCATCGGCAATTTCCCCCTGAATTTGCTTTTTTTAAATGACAAAAGTTGCACCCACTTACCTCAACCTGTCTTTTCGTATAAACAAGCTATATATGTAGCTATCTCGAGTTTGTCCTCACAATCAAAAGGTTGCGATATGACGAATGATAAAACGAACTACATCTGATTAATCCTCACTTATGCGTGTAACTGATGACACTGCTCATTCAACTACGATCTGATCTGACGAAATAGGCATTAGATATCATTCTACTTCTATTATTTATAGATAAGATTTAATATAAAATCTTTCAAAGATCCTAAATTTTCTTTGTCGAAGTTTGCCAATTGGTTTCCCCTAACATTACTCTATTCTATTGATCCTGATTATCTTGTAAAATTCACTAAAATAGATACATGGTTTCGCGGGGTTTGTATCGATTCACGATAGAACGATACATTGTACGATATTTTTTATTTTTTTAAAAAATAGGAGTTAGTAAATATTTATATATATATTTTTCTAAGTTACATTGTTCCTGCTAAATAAAATTAGCTACCGAGAGTCTACGCTCATTTATATTATGGATCTCGTGGTTTGCGATACCGCTCCATTTTGTTACTCACCCTTTCTTGTTCATGGTCATTTCTGATTCCACCCTATTTGTGATTACAGGACTACACACGCCCCGGCCGAAAGCCGAGCTAGGATGACGCCTTAGTTTTTATTTTACAGCAATTATTTTTAAAAAAAATGAGCGAATATAATGCTAGGGGAGAACTGAGAATAGTTTTCATCCCGGGGCAGCTTTTGTCTCAAATAATTTTCAAACTAAAAAAATACCTTTTTAAAATTTTTAACCAAAAGCGTATTTTTTTAAATAAAGCGCGTTAAATGGTTCTGAAAAAAAAATGATTCATAAGTTTTCCCGGATTTATTTAAATAAATTATTTTATTTATTTTTTTGAATATAAGAAAGAAAGAAAGAAAGAAAGAAAGAAAGAAAGTGTTGCTCATTGGAAATAACTTAAAAATGATATAAATAATGATGAATTAATGATTGTCTTTTATTTTTACGAGGACATATAAAGACTTTATACTTTAGATAAGACTTCCCAAACCACCAGGATGGGACACATTCCCAAAATGCTTACCAGGGGCTAACTAGCAATGATGCGGCCTCGAGGGCAAATTTTTTTTAGCAGCAGGCGTTTTTATTGGGAGCTTTGATACCACACTCCCCATTTTGCATGTTTTACAATCTCAGCCGGTTCCCCTTATGTAGGGATTATCAGGATCAAGTTAGACAGGAATTAAAGATATTTATTTAATTAATAAAATAGTGATGGTTTATCCCAATTCATAAGTATATATATATTATATATTTCAGTAAAAGTGTTCAGGTATAAATAAAACATTTGAATTTTATTTCAGCAAGAAAATAAATCAAATTTTTACAATTATCGATACTTTTTATATATTAGATCTATATAACTACAAAACAATGTACAAACATATCATATAATATTATAAATTAAAGACCATTAAAATATAAAGTAGAATATATATATATAATTATTACTAAATGCAAATTAAATTAAATATAAAAAAAAAATGTATGTTTAACTTTATATAATAAATGTAACGAAAATCATATAATATCCTTATATATATTACATACAAACTTATAATAATATTACACTAACAATTGTTTATTAAAATAAATCATTTATGATTATAACTTATTATTAATATATAAATGCTTGACACACAAAAAAAAAATAATTAAAAGCCCGAATTTTTGAATGTTTAAAATAATGTGTAGTTACAAATGTTTTCCATACCATATACAAAACGAGCATATCGGTTTATCACTTAATTTTTCTTTTGATAAGAGGCACCTCTTCCAATTTTGTGTCATGCCATGCGCCTTCTTCAATTAACATTCCATGCGAGCGCAGGTAGGAATTATTGTATGGAACACTTCTTCACCGGCTGGCACTTTGGTTCCTCTATCCTCCACCATGAAAGGATTTTAAGGGATCGAGTTAGACAAGAATTGAAGAAATTTATTTAAGTAATAAAATAACGATGTTTTATTATCACAATTTATCAATATACATATATATATCTCTTTCGGAAAAAAGTTAAAACATTTGAGTATTATATTTTAATAAGAAAATAAAAAAAAATTAACAGTTACAATTATCGATACTTTAAATATTAAAATTTATATCCACAAAATAATATTACAAACAGAAAATACAATATTATAAATAATAGACCTATTTAAATATAAAGTAGAATATATATATATATAATATTACTACAGTGTGTAGTGAATTTTCCGTTTTTATACATAATTTTTTTAAGGAAAAAAATTTATATCTTTAAAATGATGGTAGAAAAATAAGAATAATAATTCAGTTATTAATTCGAATCCAAATCAAGTAATAAATAATAATAATATAAAAACAGCATGAGTATATGTGAAAAGGATTTATTATTTTAAAATGAAGGTTATGTCAGTTCCTTGGAAAAGAGGCTTACAATGAAAATTATCTAGTAGTTCGATTTATGAATGGCAATAGAATTGACGATCAATCGAAGATATTATAAATATTATAAGATAATAGTATATTTGAAAAATTATATATGTTCATGTGTCTATTATGAACATATATCAGAGGTCCAATAAAAAATTTTTTCTGTATTTTCTATTGATAATCATTTTAAATGTATTTATTAGCATCACTCATGGTTTTCATTATTTGCGATTATACATTCGTTTATGATCTTACCTTCCTTGTACCACAAAAAATTCATTTTGAATTGAAACTCACACTTTTATTGCCAATATACTTAATATCTCTGACAAGGGGTGTGTGTATCGATATATTCATTACTCTTAAAATCCTTCAGTTTTACCGATTTTTCATTAGAATCTTGGCATTCGGTGTAAGCTGTAGAGTTGCCCTTTCTTGAACTTAAATCGTAAATGCTACCCTTTCTTTTAAAATTCGTTAGCTTGCTGGAGAAGAGTGTCTTGATTATACGCGTACCTGTTGAAAAAAAGTTCGTCCAAGCATCTCGTTGATATAGCTTAAAGCAAGGTAAAAAAATTCCGGTGAACGTTTTCCTGAATTTTTTGTTTAGCAAGCAATATAAAACGAAATTGAGACAAGCATGAACTGCCATAAGTAAATTGGCAAAATTATTGCACAGTCTCCAGATAACCGATTCTTGTGTCTCGGGTTTAAGTTGGAAAGCTACCAAGAGTATAGCCGAGGGTAAATGACAAAACGTGAAGATTATGACTACTACAATGAGCATGTAAGTTATTCGTGTCTCAGCTATATTCCTTTTACTACGAGAAATACTACTATTGCCGTTCCAAGTCTTGGTCAACTTTCTTTGGATACCGGCAAATTTGCGTATCCATATAATTAATAATGAATTAAATATGAGAATAAGTGTCAGCGGGAAAAAACAGAAAAATACGCTCGTAAACCAGAAATACCCCCTCTGATAAGTTTCGTTCAAGTAAAGAGGAGTGTCGCTTAGAAAATATTTTTTGACACGTATTGGGGTTGGATTGGTCGCTCCTTTGAGCATAGTTTCCTGTACGGTATGTAAAAGTTTCGAAGTATTTGCAGGGATCTTCACATAAACGAGATTATTTTGACTAAATAAAGATGTCGTATTAAGGAAAGATGATTCTATGGAATCATCTTTCGCGTAGACGCTATCGACTCTTCTTTCAAAAAATGTGGGAAAAGTCCCGCCAATTGATATCAGAAAAACTGCGAGAACCACACATTTAGCTTTCTCAAGCGTGCAGAAAATTTTACCCTCGATAGGGTTACTCACTACTACGAATCGTTCTATGGTAAATGAGACGACTATCCAAACCGAGGCATTACTGAAGATATCCGCGAGGGAGTAGCCCCCTATCAAATACTGCATATACCAATAATTGCCCCTAATAGTATCGTAATGTTGAAAGCTGAGAAGGAAATGAAACGAGAGATAAAACATATCTGAAAATGCCAGGGAAGCCAAATAAAAGTTTGTGGAGGATTTCATGTGTTTACGCGATAATATTAGGAGAGTACATAAGTTCCCTGGAATGCCCATGGCTAATATTATGGGTAAGCATATTTTTTGCACCACAAACCTCACCCTGTTCAGCAAAATAAATTCCTGATGCTTGGTTTCATTTAGACTGTCTGTGGGTTCATTGGATATCAATAACGATATATTTAAAAGTTCTAAGTAATTTAAAAATTGGGACGAATTTACCGCCATTTGTATGTATGTATGTGTGTAGGTTTGTGCTGAAATAGTTTGTAGGTATCCTTATAGAATCTTAAGTGTAATAAATATAATAGATAACATGAATTAATTTAAATTATAGAATTATAGTTATAGTTATAATTATAATTTATTTTTTATTAAAAAAAACCAGAGTTGTTAAAGGATCTAGAAACAAGTATCTAGATCCTGTATCTAGATATAAAAATGAGGTATCTGTCTCTAGATAGATTTTTAATTTAAATATCTGTATCTAGATATTATTTTAGATGTATCTGTATCTAGATCCATTTAAAAAGTATCTTTTAACAACTCTGAAAAAAATCCAAAACTTAAGAAGAAGAAGAAAAAAGAAGGTTTTTTGATTTTTTAAGCTTACAATGTAACGTGGCTGATGGGGCGACTGACAAATGATTAAATTAGAGGATATTATATTTAGTGTTAATCTTCTTTTTTTTAAAAAAAATATATAATTAAAATTGAATAAAATATCATAATTTTTTTAAAAAATGAGCAATTATAAAGCTTGATTTATATCTTAATACGAATTATTATGTGTTAGAAAGCTACGACTTTTTTTTTGTTCACTGTCTTAGTAAGTGTTGTTAAACGGTTTCATTTGAGCCGGTTTTTAAAACCGGCTAAAACCGGCTAAAACCGGCTAACTCAACATTATAGCCAGGAAAATAATGCCCTAATCGTCGAGATTTAGTCAACAGATGTTCAATCCTATGTGCCATTTATGAGCAAAATCTTTAGTGCTTGGCATAATATTTATTCTGGATAAAATATATGAGTTAGCCCTTTTTTAAAATCGGCTCAAATGAATGAAGAAAGAAAGAAAGAAAGAAAGAAAGAAAGAAAGAAAGAAAGAAAGAAAGAAAGAAAGAAAGAAAGAAAGAAAGAAAGAAAGAAAGAAAGAAAGAAAGAAAGAAAGAAAGAAAGAAAGAAAGATAGAAAGAAATAACTATAAAGATATTAGGACCAATCTCCACCTGGTCAACTTTGCTTGGTTTAAATAGTCGTTTCTGGTTTGTCACGCTAAATACCTGAATATTTATGTACAGTGTTGTGCAGATTTTAATTTAAAATATATTTCCATAGTTTTATTTTTTAAAAATAAAATTCGTTTGTTCGCAAAATAAAATTATTTAAACTTGTTAACAAAAAAATATATTAGTGTTGTTAAACCACCTATCTTTAGAGTCAACTATTAAACAGCGTAGACACATTTTTATCCAGATAATATTCTAATCAATCTTCAAAGTTGAGGCTCATCTTAGAAGCTTAATCCAATTTTTTAAGTCTAAAAAACTTAAGACACAGTAGAGATGGCCAAAGTTAGATAATTGATAAGAATTCTAATAAATAAGGTATTTTAAAAAACAATTTTATTTTTTTTCTCGCAAGTCGAAAATTATTTTATTTTTTCAAAATAAATTTTAAAAAATGTGGGGTAACATTTAAAATGGCAAAATGTGAATTGTGTTCAATTTTATTTCCTGGAACACGGAATAACTTTGAAATTACGCAAATAATTTTAACGTTCCAAACTGATCCATCATCATGAATCGAATTTTTAGTTCCCCCAGGCCAATTCAGCCCAAACTTTCATATAAAAATAAAATTTAAATTTAACCAATAAATTATGTAATAATAACAATAGTCTTCGATTTTCCCTATTTTAACCCTCAATTTTAATATAAATGAGTGTTTGTTAAGCGGGCTAACTCAATATTTTAGCCAGAAGAATGTTGCTCTGACTCTCGAGATTTCGCTAATTGATGTCTAGACCTTTGTGCCAGATATGAGTAAAATCTTCAGGCTAGCCTAATATTATTCTAGGTAAAATATTGAGTTTGCCGTGGATCAGCTTAAATTGATCCGTTTAACAACACCAACTATAATGATTGAACCATAGATTTGGTTTATAAAATTTATTGCTTATCCTATCCCTTATGCTCTTTTCTTTGAAACTCCTGATTCATTTTTAATCCCCATTTTTAATATGAAAAAAAAATGAGCAAATGTGTTGCTTTATACAAAATTGAGTAGAAGCGTTTTAGCGTTTGTTTTTAAAAAAAAAAAAATATTATGTTATTTAAGTTTAACTGGTATTCATTTTCATATAAATGGTTCTTAGAGAGTAGAGAGAAGAAGAGAGGAGAGGAGAGGAGAGGAGAGGAGAGGAGAGAGGAGAGGAGAGGAGAGGAGAGGAGAGGAGAAGAGAAGTTAGACTAATATAGAATTTTTGGTTTTTTTATATTATTATTTAAATTTAAATTTTTTTTTTTACAATATTGTTAATTATTTATATCAAGTTATTATTTATGTAAACATTTGTATAACTACCATTTGGTGAATAAATATCAAATCAGCATTAAATTATTTACTTTGAACCATCTAACGATGAGAATAAATGTAAAGATGTTGTAGAGATAAAGATTGTATAAATAAATAATCTTAGCGGTAAAAAGTCATAATCTCTGACCACCTACGGAGTTTCAATTGTAAGTGATATTAATTGAAATAAGGGAAATCATCGTCAAAATAGAAGGAAAAAAAAATTTAAGTCAATTCCAAACTGAAGATCAAATGGTTTATTTCCATTATTTCTTCCTAATTATACTTCTCTTTCATCCTAAACAATTACATATTTATTTAATTCAAAAGAGTATATTTTGAATTTTCTTTTTAGGAATTCATTATAACTTTGCAAGTTTAAATTTATTTATTGAAATATGGGAAAAAAAAAGGACAGTGGAAGTGTCAAAATCTTCAACTGAATTAGAGTTTATAATCAGAAAAGTAATATTTTTAAAAAAATAAAAATGGGGGGGGGGGGGGGGGGGAGGGGGGGAAATTTGGTTATGAAATCTCCATGAAAACCTTTTCTTTTATAAATATAAAATATTAGACGTTATACAAAATTCACATTTCAGGTTTTATCCCTGGGTTCCGATAAAGGAACAAAAATTTTCCACAAAAATAAGATTTTTTTTTTTAAAAAAAAAATGAGATTCCCTTCTAATTTATCGACAATTTAAGAAGAAAAAAATGAACTTAGAAAAATATGAGAAAATAAATTGTGAGGAAATTTTGAAAAATAATTATTTACCAAATGCGTTTTAGTTGGGGAAGGAGGGAACGGGGGTAAGGTGGGTCAGGGATCTATTGGGGTGGAAAATCTGAACCAAAATTCCTTCTGTAATATAATTATGAGTGAGAAGAGACCATAAAGAAATTAGCTAATTTATCTTTTTATGTCACATTAGATGAAGAGTGCGTGCTCAACTTAATAGACGATAAGTAACGAAAGATCCTTTGAAACATTTCGAAGTTTACAATTTAAGGAATTTTTAGTGAAGTAAGATTAATATCGAATATGTCGCGTTTTCCTCTAAATAAATGCGATCGCGATTATGACTTCGTGCCTACACGTTCGCGGTAGAAAATTGGCTTTAAAAGGGTTCGCGATAAAACGTTTCGCTAATATGTAAACGCTAGTAAGTATTTGGGGGTTAAGGTCGCGGAAAAATAGGCGATAATGAGTTTTCGCTAAATTGTCTCCCATGTAAATGTTTAGCGGAAAAAAAAAAATTTGCGTAATTGGTTACGCGATATTACCTACGCTATAAAATTCGCTCGCGTTAAAAACGACATTAGAAAATTAGCATTTATTAATATTGAAAATTTTTAGATAAAAAAAAAAGAAGTGAAACCACAAAATTATTCTTTAAAATATAATTTAAAGGGAAAAAAAAAATGTAGGGGTTTTCATTCATAGAAGGAAAAGTGTCGATCAAGCAAAGAAAAAAAAAGAGTCTTTCGATCAAACAAGGAAGAAGTGTCAATAAAGAAATGGGGAAAAATATTTCGACTCATAAGGGGGAATCTCACAAGAAAAGGAAAAAATTCAAATTAAAAATATTTTTTTTTTGTAGTATAATAATCCTTAAAATCATTTAAATTTTTTTGGTTTATTTACTGGATTTCAAATTTATATGTTATAATAAATTTTACTTACTGTATTTTATCCCTTAAAAAAGGTATGAATTTTTAGAATAATTTTTTTATATAAAACTCCAATGCTAAAATTAAAAAATTTTTAAAAATCTGAGGTAGCAAAAGGCGGTAGAAGATTAGATTACATTAGGGAGATGAAAAGTAGAATAAATGTAATGGATAAAATCGATATATTAATGAAGAGGGGATTTTTTTAAAAAATATTTGGGAGTATATCAAAATATTTTTGATTTGTTAAAATTAGATATTTTTTTATTGTTGCAGACATGGTTACGTTTTCCGCGATAACCCGAGTGTGATAAAATTATTATATCACATGCACACTATTGAGTGGACATCAGCCCATCAAAACTCAATTCCGATTAGATCCTAAGAACCTATGACAGATATCCAGGTTCCTTGATAAAGAGGGTGGGCCCCTTGTCAGAGATGTTTAATCTTTGTCAACCCAATTATAATGATGCCATTGTCAAACATTCGAAATACGGATATCTCATTTTAACTATAAGATACCCAGAGTACTGCAACGTTGGGCTAAAAAAATTTCTTTAAAGGTATCGTTTCTGAAAGATGTATATCAACTATTTCAAATAGCCACAATGTTTTGAGGATTCAAATAATATGTTTTGTTCATTTTCATTCAAATTATTTATGTATATGTAATTGAATTTGTTTGAGGGTTTGAACAAAAAACTGGAATAAAACCAACCCCGGTCTATCTTACTTATAAATTTATCGATCAATTTTTGAGAACCCTAAAACGTTATCAGAGTTATAAATGAAAATGAATTCGAAGAAAAGAATACAAGCATTGATTGTGATGCACATATGGGCTTTTGGTAAAAGAGTGGAATAGATCTAACCGTTTCCATTAACCCTCTCTCCTAATCCCTTCTATTGCAGTTCCGCCAACCAAGACATTAGCATTGTCGTCTAATATATTTTATTATATTATAACATTCAGAGTTGTTAAAAGATACTTAAATGGATCTAGATACAGATACATCGTCTAAAATAATATCTAGATA